CAACCCGCCAACCCGCCAACCCGCCAACCCGCCAACCCGCCAACCCGCCAACCAAGTGTCCCTCATATGAAGCTTGTCTCAAAAATACTAAAATAATTATTCACCAAAATCCTTGAAAAAAAACACTGACCGTTTTGCCAACAACAACAATAATAATATAGTAATAATAATAAAGTAAATCACACAGAGGTTGCAACATTTACCTGATGAATACCCTGACTGAAACCATCCAACAATACAGAACACACTTAGACAATACCGAGCCAACATGATCAAAGATACGAGAAGTGATCAGATACGACTGGACAATCTACTAGCGAGAAATTTCCTACCAAATGTAGAATGTAGACTTGCACTTTTGTTTTTAATATTTAATGTTATTTTTAGCTTGTTGCTAAGCGATGGACAAACGATTTATATGCATCAATACATTTTTGTCCAAGGCCACCCTTGGGTTATTGAGTAGGTCGTCTGACTATAGCCAAAAAATCTTTTTTTACTTGGGAAGATATTTACGTGCTCCTCGTCACGATCTCACATATTTATACATTTCTTTGTATTCATATTGAAAATATTTCCTAATAGCATTAATATATTTTCGAAATGTCAAAATGCCTCAACACCTYCTTTCGTGTAAGTAGTCCCCCCCACCCACGTATTCGGGAAGCTAGCTGTGCTCTGACTTGAGCCAGCTCAGAGGTTGTTTCAGGGTTTCAGGGTTCATGCAAGCATAAGTTCTGTAACTCTAGTTTAAAGATAAGAAAACCGGCTAACCGGATAACAAATTCGGTTCACATATTAAAGATTTTGTAGTATTTATATTCACATTTTTAGTGCGTTTTGCTTTTCGCATTTATTTCTCTGAAAAAAGTTAAATGCAAAGTTTCTGTATTTTCTTTTATGAAAAATCTATTTATAGCATGATATTATTGTCAGGATTATTATCTTTGTGCTTGTTATTTACCTTGTTCCCATAGGAACTGGTTATGCTGCGTCTGCGAAGTTGCCATAGTTGATATTAATGATTATTAATAAGTTCAGAGTTGAGAAGGACGCGTGGAGAACTGAACTTTGGTTCTAATTACTATTTGTTTGTTGGTGGAATGAAGACGGTTTTTAATTGTTTTTTTCCAGCTTACACTGAGTAAAGCTAAGAAACACAAAACTATATATTGATGGAAGCCAAGGGGGAAAAATTAAGAAAAAGAAAGGAAGGAATTAGAGAGAGAAAGAAAGAAAAAACGAAAAGAAAAGAAAAGAGAAAGAGAGAAAGAGGGAGAAAGGAGGGAAAAAGGAATCAAATGGATTAGGAAAAACGAAAAGAAATAAAGAAAAGAAGAGAAGAGAAGAGAAGAGAAAAGACTAAGAAAGAAAGCCTAATGAGCTGACGAACGAAGCAGTCCACACTAAACAAATGCTGTTCCCACCCAATTTTCACATGAAGCAAAGTGGCTGCCTAGCAACCTTATCCTACGTATGGTAGCTTCAAAACACTCTGACGCGCTTGTACAATTAGTACTAATGAATAAACATGATTTGACGAAGAGAAAGAGGGATGGACGATGACTGACAGTAAATTTATATTGCAAATAAAAGAAAAAATACATSCAAGAAAATAGAAAATTAATGACACGGCAAACTCACATATTGAATTGATTGGGGAATATTTAGAATGAGTGAAATACAAATTAACATGTATATAATATATAAACATTACTTTTGAAATCATGACAGAACGCTATCAAGATATCAGAAAGCAGTCTACCAATTATTGGTTGCAATTGAATTTCCTTAGAATCTGTGTTTATCATTCTGTAATTATTTTCTTTGATCGGTTTACATAAGGTTGACAAGTCTCTAGTTGAATCACTCTCTTTCAGCTTCATCAGTTTAAATGAGGTTGGTTGAAGTCTCTAGTTGAATCACCCTCTTTTAGCTGTAGATAATAAATACATTGTGACTGTATATTTTCTGTCTGGTCAGTTCGTTTGAATAGCTAGAACTATATTTTTACCACAATTGTAAATTTTCTCGCGCGCTGATTGGTTAAAAAACGTCGTAAATAAGAGGCCATACCAACAAATGGCGTCATGCAAGATTTCGTGCAGTCTATTTCCTAGAGTTTTGTGAGTTTTGTAGTAAAAAACAAATTTACGATGGTTGAGCGTGGTATGTCCTCTTATTTACCACGATATGATGCCAAACGTTGGTCAAAATTAGTTATGGACCCACTCGGCTTACGCCTCGTGAGTCCATAACATTTTGACCAACTTTTGACGTCATATCGTGGTAAATAAGAGGACATACCACGCTCAACCATCGTAAATTTGTTAAATAACCTTTATACCAGTTTTTATCATATAATTAATCAGACGTCTCCGTTTGACGGCCACCATCTGGCGGAGAATTTTTAAGTGATCGATAAATAAAGGTTTGCCTGTTCGCTTGATGGAAGTACTGTAATATAAATCAGCGCAAAAAAACTTTATAAAATTAATCTTCGACATYCGGTCGATAATTAGAGGGTGGCCGTTTAACGGAGGTATAATGCAGTGCCAAATTCTGAAAATGTTTTGAAACTTTGGCAATTGGTCGATAAATGCAGGTTCAGGCAGGCCACGTAATTGTTGGTGGTCGCTCAATACAGGTTTATGGAATTAGATTTTTGCTATTTGGACTGATTAGCACGAATTTTTGACAAGTTGAAATTTAATTAGGTTTAATTAGATTTTTAAATCATTCATTGCTTTATTTCAAACAGCGACTATAATTGTCGTTGATATAGAACATATGTTTGACAATATTTTTGGAATATTGACGCTTTCATTTGAAATGCAAAAACAAAACAACAAAATCAAAAAAATATGAGTTTTTACTTTTAATTATGAGTTTTGATTTTTTTTTTTTTGAGCTTAAAAGCTCAAATGTATTTTAGTTCAGAAGTGCATGAAAATGCTGCTAATAGGTTAAACAAGAACTTTTTTTCACAGTAACTGATCGATCGATTATGGCTTTCTTGAAAGCGATTTTTTATGGGGCTCAATGTAAGCATAAATCAAGATCTTATCGGTAACATAGTCAATCATACTACATCTTATCATCTTTTAAAGATTCTATTTGCTGTTTTACGAAGAAGGTAGGATACTGCATTTCTATATTCGGCTATTTTAGATGTCAAAGCAATAGGAGTAAATGCAGTGTGAATGAAAAGAAAGGATAGCATTAATCTCTYGTGTACAAAACACCATCTGGTTTCTTCACAAGTGTGATCACTTATTCCAAAAGCCTTAATCATTATGAAAATGTAATACGATAAAGAGGAAATAAGAAACGGAGTTAAGAAAGTGCCAATTGTTTTTAGGAAGTTTTTGGAGATTCTCTCATTTCTTAACCTGTTCATTTTCAGCTTTTCTTTGGTGTAGGCACTCGGATTGGTTATGGGAGCTACTGTTTTGGGGTATCGTATCCTCTTGTAGGTCTTTACAAACATCGCACTTGCGGTTAAAACAGGTAATAAAATAAATRTATGAACATAGATGGTTGAATGGATTTTCTCGGGGACTCCAAAGACCAGAAGTAGAGAGTAAAAGAGAGTGACTAGAAGAGTGACGAAGACTGTAGTTGTGACGTTTCGTTTTGTCGTAACACGTCTCACAAGGTGAGGGTTTAAAATCCCGCCAGCGCCTTCGAGGATAGTCATGATCACAAAGGCGCTCCCAGCACCAAACAACAACCTAGTCGTCACCACCACAGAAGTCGAAAGCCTAATGTAGCCCTTGTTATAAACTCCATTTAATAGTTCATCTGTAATAATCAAAGGCACAAGAATTGTTCCCGCTAAAAATAAATCCAAAGTTATCCACAAGTCGATGATTATCTTCGGCCTTCTGAATGTTCTCAAAGGGTCTTTCAATATGGCCAATAGGAGAAGTCCATTGATTACAGCAGTGATGCAGCCAAGCAATACCAGAATAATAGTGTTTATTAGAATTACTTGTTTCTTGAAGTCTTGGTCGTGCAGGGTGTTATTCATGTTGTTTTACAGTCGGTGTGACTCCGGCAGGCAATTCGATCACTTACTTGGACAAAATATTTAAAACACTCCGTCGTTTCTCGTTAGTGCTACTGCGAATCGAGAGTACGTACTCCTTTCAGAGCAGCTTTATGAACTGAGATCATTATCTATAAAAACGATGAGTCAATCTGAGTTCGCAAGTAAAAAAGCCAGGTCCCACAGTCAAAAACACCTGCTTATTCAAACGTTGAAAATATTATGAAAATTCAAAAAGTTTAGTATTTGATGACCCTGAACTTGGTTTAATGAAGCAAAAACATCCTATATTTTATATAACAAAGTCTTTCTATTTACGTCAATTCCCCGCCTGATGAAGATTTCAATCAATCGCAATAGCATGCGTGGTCCGTTTAATAAGCACACGTCCGTCAATAAAACAGTTTTTAGCTTTAAAACATCTGTTTTCCAGCATTCGATTGATAATAACGTCAAAATTAACAAGAAAGTACTTGATTTAGGCGTAATATAATTAATCCAGATGATTTCCGGTAGATATATAAATTAACGGAATGGTAGGATGAGAAAAAGCATTAATACATGAATTGACATCCGTCCACTGAAAGGACATTTTTCAATTTCGTAATCGAAAAGGTCCTTTCACTGGATGTGAACTCCATTAGACCATGACTATTTCACATCCATTGAAAGGACCTTTTTCAGAATCGAAAAGGACGTCCTTTCACTGG